CTAGCATGACAGAAGCTAAAACCAGCACGAAAAGCTAAAACCAGTACCACAGAGGCTAAAACCAGCACTACAGAAGCTAAAAATAACCACAACAAAGGCTAAAACCAGCACCACAAATACTAAAAATAACCACAACAAGAGCTAAAACTGACAGAACGTAAATCCAGCACAAGTTTTAGCTAAATGTATAGATACAAAACGATGAATATCCAGAAAGAACACGGATGCATACAGAGACTAAAGGGACTAAAACCCAGAAACATGTATTTAAAAATAAATAAAACTCAGGAAAGACACACCAGACCAAAATAATGACAAAAAAATGGACACAAAAGACAAACTGGATGCAATAAATAACAAAACCATGCATGATGAAATAAAAAATTCATAAAGACGAACAGAAAAAGGACGGTCAGCGACAAAAAGACAGAAACGTGTTTTACCTGCATCTGCAGGACGGCGTCCGTCTGCAGCAGCGCCGTTTTGGCCAGAGCGTCAAACACAAAGGGGTACCGGCACAGCGTCACGCCACCGTCACGAGCCTGAGGACACACAGAGCAGGTCCAAACACGTCCAACACGGGAAGACGTCCTCCAGCCAGTCCTGGGACGGACACCAGCAGCAGACTCACCATCGGGTACATCTGCCTCTGGATCCAGGTGACGTAGTCGTTCTTGATGTCCACCAGGTCGTCCAGCTCGTGGATGTAGAATTTACCGTACTGGATGATGTTTCCCGCTTTCTCGTTCACCTGAGAGGAAGGAAAACGATCAGCGATGGTCGGAGAGGACGCGGCAACCAGACGTCTGTCTTCCTGACCTTGTGCAGGACCTCCAGAAACCGAAGGGACGTGTCCAGGAAGCAGGAGAAGATTCTCTGCTCCGTCGGCGGAATGCCCACCTTGTGCATCTGGAGCAGGTAGACGACCACGTCTTTGTACAAATCCACCAACCTCTGGAAGAACGGGGCTTCGAAGGAGGACCACCAGTTTCCTGAAGCCGACCCAACGCTCGCGTTACAAACAGGAAGTGACGCGCGGTCAGACAGGAAGCTGAAACTGTACTCGGTCCTACCTAACACCTTCTGCGCAGCTTCCACCAGGCTGAGGACACGTTTGGCGAACGGGATGGTGATGGTGATGTAGTTGCTCCGGTCGCCGAACAGAGGGCATTCTGGGAGCGTGAGGTAAAGCCTCAGGGCTTCGATGTCTGGGGGGGAGTTAGTCAACCTGGGGATCAGATGTTTCTCCAGACTGGCAGCGACCTGCGGCAAACGAGACGAAGGGCGCCGATTAACACTTTCTACATCCTTCATGCTAATTTAGCTGTTATTAGATCAAAACATTCGGCTGATTCAGGAAACGTGAGCTCTGACCTTCACTTTTAATAACTTTTATACTTTTTTAAAGGATGCAACTTTATTTACATATATTTTAACAATTTAACGACTAAACTAAATCTGCTTCAGCATACCAGCTCAATTTTTGTCGTCTTAGCTTTTAGCTAGCCGTATGATGTTTTTAGCTGGTATTTAGCTTTTGCTACTTCTTTACATAGCCATTTGTGAGTTTTAGCCTCTAGCTAGCCTTTTGTTATAATTAGCAATCCTTTAAAAATTTTAGCTTTATTTTTAGCTAATATTTAGCTCTTCTAAGCTTTTATCTAGCATTTTGTTATTTTTAGCTGTTGATTCATGTTTTACTTATTTTATCTTTTAGCAAGTGATTTGCTATTTTAGCTTTTAACCAGCCTTTTGCTCATTTTGCTATTTTAGCTTTTAGTTGGTCTTTTGCAGTTAACTAACTTTTTGCTACTCAACCTTATTTAGCACTTTCCTATTTATAGCCGGTGTTTTGCTACTTTTAGTTTTTAGCTCATATTTAGCTCTTTTTAGTTTTTAACATGAATTGTGCTACTAATAGCCAACCTTTTTCTACTTTAACAAAGCCTTATGCTAGTTTTTAGCTTATGGTTAGCCTACTGCAAATTTTGTTTTTTAACTAGTCTTTTGCTACTTTTACCTTTTAGCTAGACTAATGTTTTTAGCTGGTATTTTCTGCTTTTAGCCAGCTTTTGCTACTTGTTTTACATACCGGTAGTCATTTCCAAGTTTTAGCCTCTAGCTAACCTTTTACTACAATTAACTAGCCTTTAACAACTTCAGCTTTTAAATAGCCTTTTTTAATTTTTAGCTAACCTTTAGCTCCTTTAAGCTTTTATCTAGTATTTTGATATATTTACCTTTTGATTCATGTTTTGCTCATCTTATCTTTTAGTAAGTGATTTGCTATTTTAGCTTTTAACCAGCCGTTTGCTACTTTAGCTTTTAGTTCGTGTTTTGCAGCCGTTAACTTTTTGCTACTCTTAAACTTATTTAGCACTTTGCTATTTTTAGCCAGTGTTTTGCTACTTTTAGTTTTTAGCTCACATTTAGCTAGCCTTTTGCTACTTTTACAAAGCCTTATGCTAGTTTTAGCTTATGGCTGGCCTTCTGCTACCTTGGTTTTTGCCACTTTAGCTTTTAGTTAGCCTTTTGACATTTTTAGCTAACCTTTTGGTACTCAACTTTTATTTAGCGTTATGTTCTTAATAGTTTTTAGCTTAATTTTAGGTTTTAGCTAGTGAATTGTTACTTTTAGCTTTTAGCTATCCTTTTGCCTTTCTTGAAGGACTGCATGTTGCCCGCCCCGTCACACCTGAGTTTCAAACGAAGATCTTTTAATGAAAAGTTTTAGCCAAACTTTAAAAATTATGTTTTACACATGATGTTGCTCGACTCTGAAGCTTGAGATAATTATTAATTATTAATCGATAAGCCTCATAGACATGAAGGAGCGTCATGAGCCTCAGACCTGCTGAGAAATCTCCGGTCTGTCCTGCTGGATGAGTCTGTGGAAGAGCAGACGAGCCGAGTTCAGGTCCACGCCTGAACATTTACGGGTGGTGCTGTAGTGATCGGGGTGACTGCGGAGAAACAAAAACACGAAGAAACAAATAAATAAAAACGTGAAAATCACCAACGTGCACGAACAAAGCCACCTGTGAGTCTACGACGCAGCTATTTCTGCATCATCCAAGCTTTTTTTTAGCTGTTCAGACATCAAAATGTTCGGCTCTTTAAAGAGATGGGAGATGTAACTTTTGATTTTTTGTAAAACATTTAACTTTATTTACAAAATTTTCTTTTTTATAGATCACAAAGATTCAAAAACTTTGTTCTTGTAAAACCTGCTTCAGCTACTGGCTCCATTTTAGTTTTATGGTTACTTTTAGCTAGACTTTTGCTACTTTAGCTTTAGCTAGGATTTAGGAATTCTATCTTGTCGCTATGTTAAAATTTTAGCTCTTTGCTAGCATTTAGCTACTTTTAACTAGGATTTTAATACTATTTTCTAGCTAGCCCCTTTTAGTTTTTAGCCAGCTTTTTGCTAATTTTAACTAGTTTTATTACTTCAGCTGCGAGCTAGCATTTAGCTACTTTCAACTACTTCTAGTTTGTAGCTAGGCTTTTGCTACTTTTAGTTTGCTTTTCGATGTTAGTGTTAATACTTTAACTAATAGCTAGCTTTTTGCCACTTTAAGGTTTTAGTTAACCTTTTTCTAGTTTTAGCTTGTAGCTCAGTTTTTGATATCATTAGCAAGTCTTAATACTTTAGCTGTTGTCTAGTATTTTGCTACTTTTACCCAAGCCTTTACTAACCCGACTTTCTAGCAAGGTCTTTACAACTTTTAGCATTTAGTTAACCTTTGTTAGCTTTAGCTTTTAGCTTGCTTTTTGCTATTTTTAGCTTGCTAATTGTAACTTAAGCTCTTAGCATTTTGCTACTTTCAGATAGCCTGCTGTCACTTAAACTTTTAGCTGCTTTTCACTAGCCTGTTTCTACTTTTCTGTTTTAGCTAGTGTTTTACGACTCTTAGCAAGCATGTTGCTCCGCCTTGCTTTCAGCTAATGTTTTGCTTCTTTCAGCTTGAACAAGTCAGTTTCAGCTGTCCTTCGGCTGTCACTTTGTGTTTTTGTAAAAACTGGTGTTCGAGTGTTTTCACCTCGTGGACAGAAACGACCCGTTGAGGCAGCTCGCCGAGGAGAACACCAGATCGATTTCACTGCACACGACACAAACAACAATCAGCACGTTTTAGCTGTTTACAACCAAATCTGCAAACGGAACATTGGTCAAATCTATTTTTGTTAATAAACGTGTTTTTAGGAGAGAAATTTACCTGGAGGTTTCCAGTGGGAGTCTTCCTGTCGAGCTGTTCAGCCATCTTTGCACAACGTCCTCGTTCAGGGAGCAAATCTTTCTTTGAGGATCTAGTTTGCTCCTGTCTACATTCTGACGGTTCTGTTGGAACAAATTCAAAAAGCCGACAGGGACCGGTTTTAAACTTTAACATCAAATCCAAACACCTCAGAAGCTCCACTCTGCAGTGATTATCATAGAGCAGGGAGCCCAATACGTCGATCTCGAGCTACCGGTCGATCTCAAAGGGATTCTGGGTAGATGCATTAAAATCTAGACGTCAGCTGATTATCCATCTATGAACTTTGTCTCTTGATCGACAGACGGGGCAGCCAGTCTGAGGCCCCGTTTACACGACGTGAGACGATCATTTACAGACGACATCCTCATCCTCTCTGAGACTGAAGGTTCTGAGTCCAGGTCTCAGAGTGGAGGTTTTCAGAGGAACCCCCCATGGAGGAGTGAGATGCTCCAAGTGTGAAGCTGCACATGCACACACCAGGCGACTGCAGTCCAAAGTTTTTTTGCTCAAAAAACAGTTATAATAAATATAACAACAGTTATAATAAATGTAACAACAGTTATAATAAATGTAACAACAGTTATAATAAATATATCAACAGTTATAATAAATATAACAACAGTTATAATAAATAT